TTTTTTTTGCGGACCTTTATTTTTACATTCAGTTTTTAAAAATAAATTTTATTAGACCTTCAAAATAATTTAAAACCCATAACAGAAATAATTATAAAGGATAAGAAACAAAATATAATCACTAAAGACGAAGAAATTCATAATTTTAGATTACAGGAAGGATGATTGTTCTTAATGCGCTGAGTTGATTAAAACTCAGAGTAGTCCCGACCGAAGTTAGTCGGCGGATCAAGAGGATTCCACAATCAGATTCACTATTAGTCCCAGTGGCTAAAAAGCACAACTGCCCATGGCAGAGGAATAAAATGTGTTCCTCTAGCACATAGCTCAGTTCCGATCATGCCATAGACACTGCACAAAATGAATCTGGGGGGCAGTCTACGATATTTTACTCCTGATGTCGATTCGTGCCTTGAGAATAAACGAGTTTAACAGTCTATATATAACACGTTCTTAATTGGTCGTGTCTGGAAATAGACAGATATTGTTTGTAGTAAAGTGAAGTCCTGAATATTTGGCAAAGCAAATTTCTAAGTGAAACATGGTCTCTAAACCAGTGAGATTTTTCATGGTTTAGACGTGCTTCTTAGCTAAGTCTGCTTTTGTGAGTCTGATTCCTGAGGCGTGTTTCTTTTTGTGAATTAGATTGGGTTCGGGGCGTCTGCTTATGGGGCTCTGCTCACTTAGTGAATTAGTTGCAGGGTCCAAAAATGACGGAACCGCCCATAAGGAAAATTGGGGCTTAACCCCATAAATATGCGATAGCCCCGAGACTGGCCCAATAGTGAATCAGGGCCCTAGTGTTCCATAATTTCTTTGTCTACCCTTTCTCCCTAAGATTCCTCCTCCGGTGTCCCTTATCCTCTGCTGTAGGAGGCGCGTAAACCGAAAAAATCCCAAGTTCAAGGAGTATCTTAAAAGTTATTACAAAAAACTCCCAGTGTTTTTTAAAAAAAAATGGATTCCCGATAAGGCTGGACTTACCATCTATATCTATAGTCCCCTGCGTTTCCATGGTGAAAACTACACCTTACTGGTGTGTAAACGTCCTGGCTCGAATATTCCCCACTCTACTATGTTGGAGGTGGACTACAATTGCCTAGCCCAGTCCCTGTTTTGTTGAACTGGATGGAGTTTTGATTTTTTCTGTTCTCTTCAGCCGGACTCAACTATGTTACGAACTATGTAAGATCCGCAAAGGAGGCACTACTGTTACCAGCGGTCTGTGCTTGTGGTCCATTCGCGTCAACAACCAACACTGCCTGCAAGCCAGCCTCCAGCCTGTGTCTTTCTATGCCCTGTCCTCCCGTGCCCAGCTTCCTGTAGTACACACTCACTCACTTACTGAGCCTATCACTACTATCACTACCTAGCCGCCCCGTGCTCACAGTCTCTTTACCCAAACAACCAAGGACATGTTTTTAAATGGGGAAAAGGGGTGCAGATCGGATGGAGTAAGCGTTGGTTGACTATGGACAGTTCGCGTAACAGTATTTAGGGGTTCAGGGGGGTGGGGGGGGTCTTTTCTAAATGGAACTGAGAATCTGCGGGGAGTGGGGGGGGGGAGGGTTGTAAATGGACTGGAGAATGGTTTAACAAACGCCTTAAAGCTACCCATGTGCATTTCCTTTTTTCTATACACAGGTTTACATTGGGGCGTCCCAGGCAAGGCTGAACCATAGACGTTTGTATGGTAGATTTATGCCATACCGCTGATGGGAGATCCCTGCTGAAGCGTGGAAATTCGCTTTGCGTAGTATGCACTGCCATTGCCTTCGGGGCTGCCCCTGGCTCGCCCTGACTGTCATACATGGCACAAAATAATTTCGCCCAACGATGTACAGATGCTATCTGTCAACAAATTGCAAAAATTTGAAATTTTTCTTCTCTCCTCAAGTGCATTGCAAGTGTTATCTCTGCGAGCTGGAACTCTAATCCCGTTATGAGTCGGGTATCCGGTCCCTACACCACAATCCAACGTTCCCCCAATAGCCTATAATGTGCAGAACTACGTTGATATGTTGAAAAGTCACAACAGCTAGAGGAAACTCCGTCCTCTGCAGTAGGCAATTGGCTGACTTGTCCCGAAATTCTTGAGATTCAAACAATAGCATGTAATGCCCTCTACCAAAGTAACGTTCAACTGAGAGGTTCCCAATAACCACTGGGTTTTAATACCGTTTCCAATGCCCTGTCAGGGACAAAACTCGCCCTGTTGCCTTAGGTTTTGTATATATTTTCCCAATGCAAATCAGCAGGCATGTGTAGTCTTATGAGTCAATATCGCAGATGTATTTTGCGAGCTACCACCTGACTGAGGATAGCCCTATCTTGGGCCGCAGTGAAGTCCGGTGATGTAGAAGCCATGTGACCAGGATGCAACGTGGGTAATACTTTTTTTGAGACTTGGCCTGACTGTGATGTAGGGTAGTTTTGAAGCCCCGACAATCCCCCATTTGCTGTCTACATCTTGGGGGGGGTATATAGTAGAAGTTGCGGACGACAGTCCCCGCTTTGCTTGGTTCGTGAAAGGGGCGAGCATCCAGATCAATTGATTCGGAGATGCACCACTTGGAATCCCTCGGCAGTACAAAAAAGTCATTGTGATCCCACCAAAGAGTCTGGTACATCTATAGTAGGGTTGGACCCTTCTGAGAGATAGAAGAGTCCGAATGATCAGAAAGGTTACATCACATAATGTAATTGGATTTGATCAAGACCTTAAAATAAGTCTGAGGGCTGAAACATTAACCCTGGGGCAACATCATGTCAGCGTCTGAGAGGCGAATAACCGATCCCTGGCCTATAGGTGCGCCACCTCTCTCCACAATCAGGAGTCCATAGTAATTCTGCCGCAACGCACGTAGTACCTGTAAATTGCAGAATCTTTATTGCGACGGTCTGAAACTCACGGGGTAACAATGTAATCGTGTTTCACCTGGAAAACCTACCCCTCATTCACTCACTCTATGTAGAGCTGTCACAGCAAAACGCGTAACTTGTTACGAGGTGTTTAACTATTAGCCATAAAGATTTTGATTTACATACTACACCATGTTGCCGAGTGAGAATTCTACTAAAGAAAGTCAGTAAATAGCTAGATAAAAGTATGGGGTTGAGGTGAAAATGACAGGATGCCGTGCAGAACTTTTCAAGGGGCTACAGTAATTTTTGTACAATGTTTATAAAACAAATCTTTTTCTTTTAACGCTTTATAAATAACGTGTCCATCACTCTTAAGAATCCTCCACCCCAGGTCGTATGTGTGACCTTCCACGTTATTCCAGTGTAAAAAGGGGGCCTTCTCTCGGGACCTGAAGATGCTCCTGAACGGCATTTAGTTCTCCAGTGTCTGGTGGGTTCTGAGTCTTGTTCTGAGTTTTGGGACTCTGATGGAGCAGAAAATGGGTTGTCGGTGGATGAATCTTCTGGTGTCTGTTGAGAAGGCGTTTCTCTTTAAACTTTTTGCCACACTCAAACAGGGAACCACGTCATCCTGTGTGGACCTGCTCTGTGTTTCCGTAGGAAGAGCCTCCGGGTAAAACGCTCCCCGCACTCAGCACAGCCGTACGGCTTCTCTCCAGTATGAACCCAAAATGGTCCACCAGGTAGGACTTCTGCTTGAAGCGCTTTCCACACTCGGAAAAAGGGGTGGGTTTAAAGCCAGTGTGGATCCTCCGGTGTGTCATAAAACTGGACCTATGGGCAAGCTCTTGCGCAGTCCAACAGGTAAATGGCTTCACCCCAGTATGGACCACTTGATGTCGGAAAAAGGACTGCCCCTGTGCCCAAAAAATCTCCCACACTCCGAACAGGAAAAAGGTTTCTCCCCGGGGTTTAGTACGTGGTGGTTGAGGAGAAATACTTTGCGTGTGAAACAACTGCCGCATTCGGAACAGGAAAATGGTTTGTCCCCATAGTGCATTTCTGGGGTTCACGGAGAGACCCGCGCTGACGAATTTTTTTCCCACACTCAACACACTGGTACGGCTTCTCTCCCGTGTGGGTGACCCGATTTTGGATGAGTTCAGAGTTGAAGTCAAAACGTTTTCCACACTCTGAAACACTCGTAGGTTTCCTTGTACGTTTTCCGAGGCCTTTTGAAGACCCCTATCTTGTGTGATACGCTTACCACAATCTGGACCGAGAAACGGAATCTTGGGGGAGTTGATGGTCTGATATTCTTCTGGAGGCAACTTTAAAAAAAACATTTAACACATCCTGAACAACAAAACAAGGCGTCAACGGCTCGGAATCTGTAACTGTACCCTGTTTTCAGGAGGTGCTCACCATATGTAGGAGGATCCTGTGATAGATGAGCACAGGAGAGTCTTGGATGAAGTTGGGATTTGGAGGTGTGTCTTCTGAGGAGCTGAATGTATCTATGTTTTCATGGGACGCCCGCCAAATATAGGGGGGGCCATTGACAGCTGGGCACTGGGGAGTCCTGGGGGAAGATTGGGATTAGGGGATGTGTCTAAGAAGAGCCAAATGTATCTGCAATTTTAGGAAGATGCCCGCCACATTAGGGGGCCCCAGTGACAGGGTGGGCATAGGGAGTCCGTGATGAAGATTAGGATTGGGAGCGTTGTTACTGAAGAGCCTAATGTATCCATGTTTCTTAGAGGAGACCCACCCACACTTGGAGGGAATTGGTGACAGATGGGTGCTAGGGTGCCTGGATGAAAATTGGGATTAGGAGGTTTTTCTTCCAAAGAGCCAAATGTATTCGTGTTTTCAAAAGTAGATGGGCACTGGGGGGTCCTGGATAAAATTGGGATTAGGGGTTTGTCTTCTAAAGAGCCAAATGTATCCCCGTTTTTTTAGAGGAGACCCACCACACTTAGAGGGAATTGGAGACAGATGGGTACTAGGTGTCCTGGATGAAAATTGGGATTAGGAGGTTTGTCTTCTAAAGAGCCAAATTTTATTCGTGTTTTTCAAAGCTAGATGGGCACTGGGTTGTCCTGGATGAAAATTGGGATTAGGAAGTTTGTCTTCTAAAGAGCCAAATGTATTTGTGTTTTCAAAAGAATGTCCTCCAGGTAGCAGGACCCCCGGTGACAGATGGGCATGGGAAACCTGGATGAAGTTTGGGATTGGAGGTTTGTCTTCTGAAAAGCCAAATGTAATGTTCTCATCTTCTGAGTTACAATCTAGAGATGAACTGAGGGTTTTCCCTTGGGGGCAATCCGATTTCTATGGGAAGAATTTGGACACGTCTTCTGTTTTACATCTCGGACATGAGTGTGAAGATTCGCTGGTCTCCATCCAACTCCTGGAGATGAAGAATTTTTACTCACTATTAAGGTATACTCATACAGTTTGTT